TACAATTGGAAGGAGATGAATAAAGGATAGTATCAACAAAGTAGGCTAGGCTAAATCATTTTCTTGAGAAGAACCTGGAGCAAAATTCAGGTCCCATCATAAATAGCGTAACTTATAGCAAAGGAATATTACATTAATCAATATTCCCTGCTCTGGGGGGAAAACCCACAAAAACCTGTACAGCATCAGGAGAAACTATTAGCATGCATGAAGGTGATTAGATATTGGACCCAGCTCTTAAAGGGTATGATGTCAGTAATGCAGTTTGCTATAAACACAAGCACAGTTCTATAGATAGAATTAGATTCAGATCAAACCTTGAATATCCTTTAAGATCTTATAGGCCTATTATTTTTGAGCTACAGTGGCACAGTGGTTAGAGTGCAGTACCATAGGCTACTTCTGCTGACTACCAGCTGCCTGCAATTTGGCAGTTCAAATCTCACCAGGCTCAAGGTTGACTCAGTCTTCTATCCTTCCCAGGTGGGTAAAATGAGGACCCAAATTGTTGGGGGCAATATGCTGACTGTAAACTGCTTAGAGAAGGCTGTAAAGTACTGTAAAATGGTTTATAAGTCTAAGTGCTATTGCTATTAACACTAGCACCATTCAAATTTTGCTTAAATGCTACTCCTGCAAAAAAAGAGTAAGAGAAAAGGAGAAGATTCTGGATATGAAAAAGTAGTACAAGCCTGAATAAGAAAAGGACATGATTCCTACTGTCTTCAATATGAAACTGTACTGTGGTTATTAAAGGAAGCATTCTGATATCTTTCAGTTTATTAACGCCAGTAGAAAAGAATATCTGTAGTTCAGGGTTGATCTATGGAGTCCTTGTTGCTCTCTGAGCCTGCTTATTGGTTTGCAATTGTTTTATTACCGTATTAAGTAACATCAATACTAGTGAATATGCGGTTTGCTCCCCTTTTATATATAGTAGCTTGCCCTGCTAGTATTGGTGGAGGTATAGTTTTCTCTTTGTTTACTGTTTGCTTGTTTGTTTATTTATTCAGGTGTTAATACCTCTTTACCTGGGAATTGATTGCTGGTCTTTCTGTTTCCTTTTTAATTTTTTGTGTGTGTCTTTTGAATGATGTGTAAGCGTTGTTCTACCTCTATGTGCCTGTTGATGGCTGATTTGTCTAAGTGCCAGTTGTACCATTTGATCTAGTGGTGAAAGCACCAGGCTAGAAACCAGGAGATTGTGACTTTTAGTCCTCCCTTAGTCAAGAAAGCCAACTGGCTGACTTTGGGTCAGCCACTCTCTTGCAGCTCAACCCACCTCATAGGGTTGTTGTTGTTGTGGGGAAAATAGGAAGAAGGAATATTATATATGTTTGCAACCTTTAATTATTTATAAACATAATAAAGGTGGGATAAAGATGAATATAATATCTTTAGCACTGGCAGAGCAAGCACTGACAGAGCAAGATACTATATATAAACAGTGAGCAAATCCTGCACTTACAAGCATTGCTGATACCTTGTTAATTAATGAAACATCTGTGAACAATCAAACACAGAGCACCAAGGATTCCACATTTTATTAATCATTGCTTAATCTAGATTGTTAGTAATGTTTCTTAATGCAGTTGTTTGGGGAAAAAACCCTGATCACTTAATTTCATGCCTGTATGAAATTTGCTCTCGGTTGACTAATTTATAGGAACTGTTTTTCCTAGATTTTATAAGTTGATGAGTTCCTGCACATATCTCAGTTTCTTTCAGAAAAAATGAATGTGTTCAGCAGACCCATATTATAACATTAAGTCTTTTGATGAAATATTAAATAGTAATTAAGAAAATGGGATACGTATGTAATAATCCCATACATTTTAATAAAACTTTTCATAAAAAATTGTTTGTATCAACAGGTCTACAAAGTCTTGGTCTCAGTTGGCACTAATGAATGGTTTGTCTTCAGGCGATATGCTGAGTTTGACAAGCTGTATAATACAGTAAGTAGGGAAGTTGTGCTCAAATTAGTTTGGGAAATTCCTCTGAACCAATTTCTTCTGCTATATTGTTGGTACATCATGATTGAGAATTGAACTGATTTCTGATGTTAAATTATATCATATGTATTTCAGCTAAGGAAACAATTTCCTACAATGAATTTGAGAATTCCTGCTAAGAGAATATTTGGAGATAATTTTGATCCTGGTAAGCAGATCTCATTTAGTTCTCATTTTATCTTTAAACTGTTTCTGCATCAATAAGTTCAACTTGAATTAAGTATTTTTGAAGTTCTCCCCACCTATATAACAGTATGTAGAAATTCACATAGAAGAATATGTGGATATAAATGTACACTAATGTGATTTATCATCTGAATCAACAGTAGGCAATCTAATTCTTTCCAAATGTTTACAAGTCCAACTCCATTTTGTTGTATCCAGTATAAGCAGAGAAAAGGGATTGTGAAAACAGGTTCAAATCAAGGCATGGGACTCTGCAAACACAAGTGCACTAAGCATCAGACTTCTGAAAACAATGAATGATGCTTCGTACATTAAATTCTGTTTATGGTCAATTAGGATATATTTTAATCAATTGCAAAGTTGTGTAATTCTGATAAATATGGATATAAATTCTCCATTAAAGTAGTTCTGTCATCATCCAGAACATTTGTATTTGAACATTTTTCACTTGCATATAAATAAAAGTTTTTGATTTATTTTTGATGGGTTTTTTATTTGTTTGAATCTGATGTGCAGAATTTGATAATATTGGGTTTTTTAATACACAACATACCTTGTTGCTGAGAGACATATTGCATTTTTTAAATTTATCAATATCACACTTTTTAATTTTTATAAATAACTCAAGATGGCAAACACACCTTCCTGCTTCTATTTTCCCTATAACAAAAACACCCCTGTGAGGTGAGTTGGCCCAAAGTCACCCAGCTGGCTTTTAAGGCTTAAGGAATTAACAGACAGACTGAGTTGTACCCTGGGAATGATAAATTGTGATTGGTTTTATTAGTGTAATCAAATTTAGGAATAATTCGGTCTTTAAATGAATGAATCTGAATATAGATAGTCTGCTAAGGCAGCTCATGTTCTCCTGCTTTTTAGTCTGATGCCTTAATCCATAGTCCAAACTGATATTGCATTGTGCTGTATTGTATTGTACTGTACTGTTACTACTTGGCAACCAGCATGCATTTAGGATAGTTGCAGCATCTTGGGATCCTGGGATCATCATTTGTAACCTTCCCAGTTGGCTTCCAATAAACAAAATCAATGGGGAAGCCAGATTTACTTAATGAACATATGATTAACTTACACCTACAATAATTCACTTAACAACCATGGCAAAAAAGTTCATAAAATTGGGTGTGACTCACTTAACAGTCCCCTTGCTTAACAACAGACCTTGTCGTTTCAATTGTGGTTGTAAGGTGAAGACTATCTGTATTGTAATCCTCAGCTTACAACCACAATTGACACCAGAAGGTGTGTTTATACCTGTATTGTATTGTATTTACTCCATTGCATTGCATTGCATTGCATTGCATTGCATTGCATTGCATTACATGCCATTCTATTAATTAATCAGTGGGAAAAGTCTATACCTTTCAGTGCTAGGGCATATATATTATATATTTTAAATTCTTATGAATTATATGTAGCACATCCTAGTTTTGGAGTGTTTGTCCTCTGTAATTAAAGTCTTTCTTTTTTTCTCATTAGTCATTATAACATGCAAATATAAACAGACTGAATGTGAATGCTTGTTTTGTACCATCCAAATGATGTAATAGACTTACCAGTATTTACCAATCATATTCAGAGAAAAACATTAGCTCAGTTATAAGAAAATTTTAGCTAAAACTAGGAAATATTACATAAGGAAGTTTGAAGTATTTGTATATTTATTCATAGAAAAGAATCCCAGTTTATCTCTGATCATATAGAACTTCTTTCACTGCATTCTACATAGCCTGGGTAAAACATTATCTGAGTTTCAAAGCAGCTTTTATATATTCTTGTTTATATTATTGTCAGTTTCTCCAAGAGTAACTTAGTACTGAGCTTAACAGAATAACTAGTTTCTGTTTCTGATTTGAGATGCCTTGCCGTCTTAAGTTTTCCTACTAGCTATGCTTACTTCAGTTGCTTTTCCATCTCTGATTTCCTACACAGGACAATGTATCACTCTGCTAATATTAATCAAAATAGGTGTGTATTCATTATTTTCTCAAATAATAAGAGTTGTATAGGAATGATAGATGTTTTTTTAAAAAAAAATTCAAGTATCTATTCAATAGTATCCATTTCACTATATCCTTCTTCTTAAAGTGACTGCAGCATTAAATCTATAGTTTAAAAGATTTGGAATTTAGAAGTAAGGAGAAATCTCCTGACAATTAGAACAATTAATCAGTGGAATGACTTGCGTCCCAAAATTATGGGTACTCCAACACGGGAGATTTTTAAGAAGAGATTGGACAACGATTTGTCTGAAATGATATAAAGTTTCCTGCTTTGAACTCTTCTGTTTTTCTGTTATTCTGTTATTCTGGTAGAAAATAAGACTTTTTTAAAATAAAAGGTCTATTTATTATCTAATCTAATCTGTTTTACCTGTCCATTAGTATTTATGGGATGCTGGAGAGCAGCCCTGATTACAAATACAAGAGCAACAAGTTTTTTATTATTTTTTAATGAGGCAATCTAAGAAATGTATATATTTAAATTTTGAAACAGGGATTCTAATATCTGATCTTTTCTCATTGGGTTTTCAGATTTTATTAAACAAAGAAGAGCAGGATTGAATGAATTCATTCAGAATTTAGTTCGACAGCCTGAGCTTTGCAATCAGTAAGTGAAACTTTGTTTTACCCTCAAGAGAATAAAATTATGTGGTAAACTATATACTGGAAACTACAATCCATACGTACCTTCTAAGTGAAATACCGGTAGTTCTCAACTTACAACCATTCATATAGCAATCATTCAAAGTTACAATAGCAGTGGAAAAAATGACAACCTGTACTCACACTTAAAACCATCTTAGTGTCCCCATGGTCACATGATGAACATTCAGGTGCTAGGCAATTGGCATATATTTACAATGGTTGCAGCATCCTGGCCTCATGTGATCATTATTCGTGACATTCCTAGCCAGCTTCCAACAAGGAAAGTCATTGGAGGAAGCTGGATTTGCTTAATAACCATATGATTCACTTAACTGTAATGATTTGCTTAACAAACATGACCAAAAAGGTTGTAAAATTGGGCCCAAATCACTTAACAACTGATCTGCTTAACAATAAAAATTCTGATCCCAATTGTGATCGTAAGTCATGGACTACTTGTATTGGAGTAAGAGAATGTCTATAACTTTTGATTACCAGATGCTGCACAAAATGACATGGAAAGTGATCACCAAGGCATGCTTTTGGCAGGTCAAGGTTAGAGTTCTCAGATGTGGTGTTTGATATGTTTTTATACTACTGCAGAATTGTTGCTAAAATCATTACTTAAGCCTTTAATAATTGGTAGCCTGATCCTATCCTTTGATTCACACAAAGGTAAAGTTTGAGTTTTTTCTGATTAAAGGAATTTATTAAAGGAATAATTTTCTTCTGAATAATTCTTCCATAACTTATAACTAGTCACTTAGCAATCATTTGCAATGACCAGTTGATTAGCAATCATTCAAAATTAAAATGGTCCCCCTACTTCAAAAGCTATTTATGACCCAGATTCAAAGTTGCGATGTCCAGAGCTCCCATGGTCGCATTGCTGCATTTTGGGTGTTTGACAGCTGGCCTTTTGCAGTATCCCACGATCACATGTCCACGATTTACAATGTTTTTGCTGGAATTTGGCATTTACTTTGATTTTCAAAAATTGTCCCATTGCAAACAATGGGTTCATTTAATGACTGAGGCTTTCACCTCACTACTGTCGCGTTCACTTTACAACACCTCATTCACTTAATGATTGCCACAAGAAAAGTCATAAAATTGGGTCTGGTCATTGAATGGTCTGCTTTACAACTTTCACAACACCCAAAATTGTGGACTCAATTGGGGTCATAAGTTGAGGACTAGCTGACTAGGTGACAATGAGGCCTAATAAGTTTGGCAGTTATAATTAGATAGAAAGTCGAGCTACACACCACAGTCCCGAGGGTTGGGGACTCCTGCGGTAGGTGATTCCTGTCCACAAGGTAAGTAAGAGTAGTTCAGATTCAGGTTCTACTTGTCCCATGGTTGTGTCTTCTCTGGAATACATAACCAATGGTAAAGAGTTTGGCAGTTTCATTGTTGGTTTGCTATGACTTATTAAATTGTGACTTTTTTTGAAAAATGTTTGGATTGTTAATTCCTTTGAAACTATTTTTAACAGATCAAATTTCTGAGGCTTCATTCAGTGATATATAATTGTGGTAGTTATTTCTAATGTTATTAATACAAAATTTAACAAATTAAAAGTTAAAAATGGCAACTATCAAAAGTATTATGGAAATTGCTTCTTCCTGGCGGTGTTCACAAGTGATCTAATTAATATATATTGTATCAATGGAAATGGAAGTTTCAACTTAATTAGCTCTGATGTAATTTACCTAATTTCCTGTTTGATTTCAGTTTTCAGCTAAGTCATGATCATAATTTCTTTTTTGTTTTGTTGTATATGTTATTTACATTGAAAATGTATAATGAAGCATTATATAATCAGTTAAATTATCTTTCCTAGTCCAGATGTAAGATCATTTCTTCAGATGGACAATCCAAAGCACCAATATGATCCATCTGAAGATGAGGATGAAAGAAACAGTCAAAAGGTAACTAATTTTTGGCACTCTTGTGTTTAAATTACAGAAGTTACTTTATTTCCGCAACCCTATTGGCCTTTTCCAATGTCTTTCTTAATGTATACTTCACTAGAATATAAAGCATTGCCTACCTCTTTTCTCAAATATAGTAGCCTCACAATGTTGTTATTTCACATTATTCAAGGTTTGGAGATCTTTAATCTGTATTCCTAAACTATTTTTAATATATACACAATCACTCTTCCTCTATTCCAGTGAAGATGCCAATCTTTATGTCAGTAAGCATAGGTTTTGGAATATTTGCACTTTCATCAGTGAAATTACATGAACATCTACAATACTTTGTAATAAAAGAAACTATGTAAGAACAGCCACTACTCCTATAGTATTTCTGGCAATTAAACAGCATTAACTAATACTAATCACTACCATCAACTAGTTGACATAAATTTCATGTCAACACTACTGCCTACTTCATGCTGCATTGCTCAAGCAAGCTGCGTTGAGTGTTGACTTAGCCATGGTCAGAGACTTCTGCAGTCTAATGATCATTAAAACTTTGCATTCAACCTGTAAGATACAACATGTCTCTAGGAAACGAGCCCAAATCCATCTCAGCTTTAATCCACATCTGATTTTGAACATAATTAAAGTGTCTTGCCACATTTGATCTTTTTCATGTTTATATATCATTCACAGATTTATACTCTTGTCCTATTAGAAGATTTAATATGTCAGACATGTTCTGTGGTTACCCTGCTAACAATCAGATAATTGTAATCTGCTGAGTTGGTAGAGGAATATTAATTTTCTTCGGTAATGTGATTTTGTCATGTCATAAATGGAGTTTTTACTTGTAGACAATACTGATTCTACTTATAATATGTGTTCTGTAAATTAGTTGCTGTAGTTTTACATTAGTAAGTATACTTGCATAAGCAGTTTGTTCTCAACATTTATTTGTTATTCATTTGAGGTGAACAATAGTTTATTAAATAATAAATATAATACACCATATTGACATAACATATTCATCCATTATTCAAATAAATTCATTTATTCCAACAGTAGAATGTTATAATTGCACAAAACATAGAAAAAATCTTTTCATACTCACCAAATGCAATTGTCATTTTACAAATTGAAGTTGTTCATAGTAACTTAGGCATGTTAGGTAACAGCTATATTTTTCAAGTTTACCCCTAACTCTAATATGTCACCTGGTCTCTACCACATCTGTTCACCAAGCAGAAGAGTTTCTGTTTTCCTTCTGGAAAACCCAAAATTTTAATAAAGCCCATCTTCTCTCTGTATAGAACTGTTTCCACTGGCATTTTAGTTCAGCGGGTTTTATGGTGTTCAGGGACTGGATTAGGGAGCAGGGTGAAAAGTGTATAGACAGTCAGCCTCTGACCCAAGCATTTGTTCTATCATTCTATGGTAAGATTGACAGCCTATGGGTCATATTCATCCTTGCCATTTTTTCCCCACCTCAAAAGTCCTGGAGAAGTCTACTGATAAAATTTGATAGCAAAATGGCAAAAATTAATCTGTAAAATAAATTTCTTAAATATCTAGCAAAATTAATTCTATCAGTTGTACCTTTAAAATCTTTTTAAAAGTCTGGAAAGTTTGATCCCAACAAAAGCTGTAGATATAGTAAGAACATGTCTAAAAGGATACACAGAGTTCAGTGCAGTCCCTTCCAAATATTTTCAGAGTTTAGTTTTTAATCACTAAGTTTCCTTTTTCAATCTCAAAACTGTTTATGAAAACAAGGTGGATTTTCTTTTGAACAGCACACAGAAATATGTGGGGAACGTAGACTTTGCTCCTAAACATAGAAAACTGCCTAAGAAACACTTTTTTTTAAAAAGCAATTTATACTCACTGGTGTTAGGAATGTCTCTGTAGTGATAGGGATTACAGTAATTAACCTTTGTCCTTTTAAGCATAAAGTTACAAGAAAGACTTCTTTCCCAAAAATACTTAATTTGAGTATACTACAATGCAATCTGAAATATTATGATTAGACTTTTTTCTAACAAATGAATTATCTATAAACTTGATTTGAGTTTAATTTATATTTTTTATTTTTAAACAGCTAAATTCTACCTCACAGAACATCAACTTGGGGCCATCTGGAAATCCTCAGTAGGTTTTAGTTAAATATAAATTAGCCTTTGCAGTTACTTTTTTAAAGGGGGTCTGGGAGTAAAGAGCACCCTTCATGTAATATCAATTAGGAGCAAGCTTAGGAAGAAATAGTTGTAATTTGGAACTAAGAGAATATTGTCTTGCAAGTTATTAAGTACAAATAAAAAAGGGAAAAGGATGAATTTGTAGAAAGTCAATAAAAGAAACAGTTATGTGGAAGATAATGAGAATGCACATGCATAACATAGGAAATACTATGTAGAATAATTTGTGCTCTAGAAGACTGAAATACCGCAGATATGTGATTCTTAAATTTGAACTGTGATGGAGAGCACAGCGAACACTGAAAGAATAGTTATTAGGAGGAGGGGAAGAAATCTGGGAAGATAGGAAGAAAATGTGGTATGACTACCATTCAGCTACTAAATAGCTACCTTTTATCATTTTGATTACCTGTTTTTCTTTATCCTGAAACCACTCCAGTGCTAAACCAACAGACTTTGACTTTCTGAAAGTTATTGGGAAGGGCAGCTTTGGCAAGGTAGGTTCCTATTATTGTTATATACTCTTTGCTAATACCACTTCATTTTTTTATTCTATTGGTGGGATATATCTTTTTGTTGATGATATGAAAAGAAAACCTATAACTGCATGCCTTAGATACCAAAGACTCCAGTTTCAATTCCTGGAATCTCAAGGGTGATTTTTAAAAATTAGAAGTAATCTAACATCACTGCATTATCTCTATAAAGCTGCTACTTGTAAGAACTGGGGAAAATTTTACTTGAATTCTTCAACAGGGTGGAACAGACTTTCTATGAAAATTCTTCTTTAGGTTCTTCTTGCAAAACGAAAATGGGATGGAAAGTTCTATGCTGTTAAAGTGCTGCAGAAGAAAATTGTCCTAAACAGGAAAGAGGTAAAAGGGAAGAGATTTTGTTTTTCCTTCCAATTACAAAATTATTCCTACTTACTTATTGACCCTTCATTTCCTCATAGCAAAAACATATCATGGCTGAACGCAACGTGCTCTTGAAAAATGTGAAACATCCATTCTTAGTTGGACTGCATTATTCATTCCAAACCACAGAGAAGCTGTACTTTGTTCTGGATTTTGTTAATGGAGGAGAGGTAGGAATACTTTTCAGTCTATATAGTAGTCAAATGTCATCAGTTTTGGCTTGCAGTTTAAGAGAAATTGCAGTAACTAATTGTAGTGGCTCAACATAAATTGATTCCCACATTGCAAATATATATTCATTTGCTGCTATGCTGCTTTATTGCATTATTTATGTGTATATGTAATATTTAGTGTAAAAATTATTATATTCATGATTTATATTAACCAAAAGTTAGTGAAACATGGGTAGCATTCACAAATAATGTGAAGCCAAAATCTTCAAAATCATGGTTGCTGATTGTGGTTATGTATAAACTAGACCAGTGTAGTAGTTTATTTAGCAATTGCAGCTGTAGCTTGCCAAGGCTACAGATGTGAAAAAGTAAGGAAATGATTAAAGGAAGGATGTGAATAATTATGCACAATGCTTTTTCACTGTTTTGATAGCTGTTGATAGACAACTGCAGAATATGTTAATCTTATTACTAAGAATAACACTGTTTTCTCTTAACTTGCTCCATGCATATTTACAGCTCTTCTTTCACTTACAAAAAGAACACACCTTTCCTGAACACAGAGCCAAATTTTATGCTGCTGAAATAGCCAGTGCACTGGGCTATTTGCACTCCTTAAAAATTGTATACAGGTAATGACTCAGACTAAAAGGGAAAATGAAATAAATGCAGTCATTTTCTATTAATATATATTTAGTTTTTCATTTTATAATTTGTTGGTTTATTTCTTATTAATAGTTACACAAAGGCATGATTCTTGCTAGACATTTTACTTACAGTGAATTTCCTTCTTTCTCATTTATGCCCAGGGATCTGAAGCCAGAAAATATTCTTCTAGATTCATTGGTAGGCTGTAAATATTTCTTTCTATTATCCAATAAATTTTAAATAATACAATCGCTAAAATTCTTCATTGTTTGACAGTAGATTTTCAATTTTCAATGCAGGGGCATGTTGTCTTAACAGATTTTGGACTCTGTAAAGAAGGAATTGCTACTTCAGATACAACTGCAACATTTTGTGGAACTCCAGAGGTGAGTTAATTTACTTGTGCACTCTCTCTCTCTGCTCTCTTTCTCAAAATACAGTACATTTGGAACTTTCATTGGTAGAACTAACAAATAGTATCTTAGATATATATAACATATTAATAAAATAGATGTAACAACTATTAGCGAAGTCTTGATGACCAAGGGGATGCTAGATTAGCTCCCTAAGAAAGTTATGGAAGATAGTAACCAAATTAGCTAATAGTTGCACAGAATGTATTGTAGCAGTATTATCTAATTATCAATATCATAAGAAAGTTCCCAACATAATTTCCCCTTAGATTTGTATGGCACTCCATCATGCCTTGATTCAAATAAGTGGATCATTTCACCCAAGCTTTGGGCTACAAGTGGGTAGCAGGCTCATTGCAAGCTTTAGAAATTTTGGTTTTACATTTATTTACTTATTTAAAATATTTGTATGACTGCCCATCTGAAAACACAACTCTGAGAGACTAACAGCAGTAATAAAACTTCAAACCATAACATAATAAAAGCAAAATAAACTTCAAGACATCTATTGTGTTTTATGATTACATACATACATATATGAAATCGATGTTGATCTCTGTTAAATAGTTGAGAGTGGAAAGCCATAGATATGCTTAGCATCATTCATACCAAAAGAATTTGTACCTCTTAGTGATTGGTTGGAGCTATTTTTCCCTTACAGTACCTGGCTCCAGAGGTAATCCGAAAGCAACCCTATGATAACACTGTAGACTGGTGGTGTCTTGGAGCTGTTTTGTATGAAATGCTGTATGGTCTGGTAGGTAATTCATTTTTTCAAACTGCATATCTGAATCACTTATTCTGATCTAGTAGAATTAAGTTCAAAATGAACTTAACTTTAATTATACAATACAATACAATAGCAGAGTTAGAAGGGACCTTGGAGGTCTTCTAGTCCAACCCTGTGCCTAGGCAGGAAACCCTATACCATTTCAGACAAATGGCTATCCAACATCTTCTTAAAGACTTCCAGTGTTGGGGCACTCACAACTTCTGGAGGCAA